TACGACAATTGACGTCCGCTACAACAATGCCCCGTTCGATCTGCAAACTCAAAAATGTTCATTACGTTCCAGCCATAAAAACGTCCGCGATGGAGGTTTGCCAACGATCTTTTTGGTTATTAATTTCTTTTTTTTATACATTAGATCTTTTCCTATCTTTTTAAACTCCTTCTTTTCCAATTTCCTTTTTGGCCATAAGGTTATTACTTTCCTTTCCAATTCTTACCCCTTCTTCTTCTCACCCCTTTCATACTGTTTAATCCCACAGTCTCTGTGTTCCTTTTGCTTTCTTTTCCGCCTTTCTTCTGTTTAAGCACTGCGACCATCATACTGACGAAGTCCAGTCGCAGGGTGGACCTTAATGGACCGAAACGTCTTATCTCACTCTTGCCTCTTCTCCTACACCATTCTTTCTTCCTGAATTCCATCGCATCTTCACCTTACTGCGCTTCCAGGGTCAACCTGATTGCTGCAATCTGCTTACATTCAAATGCCCTCGGGCAAATTCAAAACAGAATCACTCACTTCCAACAGTACCAAGCAATTCCAAGAAGGAACAGAGTCTAAATTTATGGGGCCAAAAATGAGGCAATTACTAAGATGAAGATACATGAACTATGCCAGTAAGCAATGAGGCAAATAAGGGCATACTATATTATCCAGTACTCCTTGCAACAAAGCGTTCATTTTTCTGAAGCGATTTGTTTTTATCATTGCACTTACAATCATCATACACCGATACAGCACCGCATCGTCCAACTGAAATTGAATTATTTGACATCCCTTAGATTATGCAGTGCATTTCCGCAAAGATACCCCAGCACGCAAGGTGTGTGGATATTTTAGCCTCTAACTTCATTAAATGACAAAACTATTTTGGGCGCAGTCCTTTTTTAAGCAAAATACGCAAATATGCTCCGTTTGATGAATAAATGTGCCCTAGTGGGGGGAAACATTTCTTTTACATTTTTTTAAAAAAAAAGGCCAGAAGGAAGGTCACCGACGCGCTGGTCCAACCGGCTAACTCAATTATACGGAGTATTGTGGATGAGGCAAGCTTAGGATAGAATTTTGGCGTGGTTGTCGGCTCAATCGCAGAAGGTCAACATCGCGTCAGTGACGGAAACGCTGTATTAAGCATCAAGAATGCGAAAAAAAAATGGATGTTGCTGCAATCAGTGGAGTAAAATGCAGTGAAATAAAGTATAACCCGCTATTTATTAACAACTAGGGGACTTCGCGTACCAGCAAACGATGTCAGTGAGAAGCCGATTGTTCGAACGGTTATCGAAGAGATGTTTAAATTTCGCAGCATAAGTAAGAAGCAGAAATTCGAAAAAAAAAAAAACAGCTCAAATCGAAAAAAAAAAGCCCCGTATTCTTGCACCTGGCGTGAAATAACCATCGGATCTTTAGGCTGGTAGTCTGGACAGACTGCCACAAAAATTTATTCCTTTCCTTAATGTCCCTTTCCTTATTGTGCAAATAAATGCGATTTGCCACAAGCTTTCATGAGGGACTAGCCCTTACCCGATGGCTTTTATGCTGAAATGACCATTAAAATGGAGCACCAAAATTTCAAACTTTTTGGTGGTCAAAGGAGGTTTGGGAATGAAATTTATGGAACAGATTTTAATTCATAGTCCATTTCTTCAACCATACGCCTGGCAACTTCCCCAATTACTTCCACCAGTGACTGTCAGCCTACTTGTGATCTTGACGCTCATCTTGCCTCACAGTGGATTACCTGTCTGACAGTTCTATCCAAAAATGGAAAGTTCTAATCGCAATGAGGCGCCCTTATCATGTATTGAGGCGCTCTTATCATCGCAGCGCAAGTAAGAAGCAGAAGTTCGAAAAAAAAGAACAACTCGGAGCGAAAAAAAGCCCCGTATTCCTGCACCCAGCGTGAAATAACCGTCGGATCTTCAGGCTCGTAGTCTGGACAGACTGTTACAAAAATTTATTCCTTTCCTTAATGCCCCTTTCCTTGTTGTAGTGCAGTCGCTTTCGAACGTCACCAATCTTTTGCCACGAGGAGATACTTTACCGATTAATGTTAAAATTGCGCTAAAAGTCAGTATTTCTCGACGACTGTAATGCAAACTGCAAAAATTCAACTATATCCAGACTTGCCAATTTAAAACGCCTTCGCCCATACTATCGCTTTTTGATGACTATTTTTGAAAGCCAATGATTCTCACTGAGCTGCAAATAACACATCACTAAAATACTACCAGCCCGGCATGAGGTGTTAGAGGAAGAACATCAGGAAATCCTGATCATCTACCTGAAGGGAATGAAGGATAAAATTTGTAAAAGGGTACCCCCTTTTACAAATTCAAGGGTACCCCCTGTGAAATGCCTCCCACGAATGTGTATTATGTCGAGAAATCGTAAGTTAGATGTGCTGATCCACTGCGAAAATGCGGTAATTTTACAAAATAAATGGAACCGTAACACTACCAGGTGCTGCATCAAGAGAAGCACAACAAGGAAATACCAGTTGTTAAAATAAGCGTCATTGTACTTGGCATTCATCCCCTCCTTATAAGTTGGGAAACTGGAAATGGAATTTGGAAATAGAAATTAACCTCATCCAACGACATTGTTTCATTCCCTGCAGCATCCAACAGCATCGACTGATTCGCAGCCATTATTACTGTCGCATTGGGGAATAATGCCCGATGTATGATATTACTTGTCAAGTCGCATATGCTTGATAACGCCTCCTGAAGTGAGTTTTCAAGCAAATCTCCAGGAACATAAAATAATTTCATTCCCCCCTTCCCCCCCCCCCCCCCCTCCCC